TTGGCTGTGCCGGGACTACTTTTGGGTTCACATGGACTTTTCTGCGCCAAAGAGGGTGTGAGTGGTTATGGTAGGGAAATCCCAGACTCTCAGATACAAGGATCCATTCCAAACCTATTCTCAAAAACACAGCCCACATCCCGGTACCTGTGCACCCTCACACACCATCCTGAACACGGGACTCCCTGGCGGTGTGAGCATAGGGTGGGGAGGCTGTATGGCAGAAGGATCAGAGGGAGCCGGTCCATGTCCTGGCTCTGGTGCAGGCTGGACAATCTAGTGACTTTTACCTCCCTGAGCCTCGGTTTCCCTCTCTCTGTGAAATGGGGACTTAGTGAAATTACGCATGTGGTTAGGACAGTGGCTGGCCCCGGGTAAATGTTAAATGAACACTAACTGCTACCAGCGACCATGAGGGTTCCAGCGCTTAATTACTGCCCTATATGGTTGGTTGTAGTGCCCGGTGCATGGTAAATGCCGCAAGAAGTAATTTAAGAATTTGAGGGGGCGCCTGGGTGGCGCAGTCGGTTAAGCGTCCGACTTCAGCCAGGTCACGATCTCGCGGTCCGTGAGTTCGAGCCCCGCGTCAGGCCCTGGGCTGATGGCTCGGAGCCTGGAGCCTGTTTCCGATTCTGTGTCTCCCTCTCTCTCTGCCCCTCCCCCGTTCATGCTCTGTCTCTGTCTGTCCCATAAATAAATAAAAACGTTGAAAAAAAAAATTAAAAAAAAAAAAAAAAAAGAATTTGAATTCTAGGAGCACCTGGCTGGCTAGGTCGGTGGAGCGTGCGACTCTTGATCTTAGGGTTGTGAGTTCGAGCCCCACGTTGGGTGTAGAGATTACTTGAAACTAAAATCTTAACAAAATAATGATCTTGAAGAAAAAAAAGAATTTAAATTCTAGGATCAGAGGGACCGATTCCTATTCCCAACACTCCATGCACTAGCCGGAGGCCTTGGGCAAACGATTTCTCCACTGGGTGCCAAATGTGGATAGTAAGGGAATCTCCTTTTCCGGCTGTTATGAGGATTTTATGAGATGCTCCAGGAGGAGAACCTGGCAGTGATGAATACGTGTTAACTGAAATAAAGCACTTAGCATGGGGCCTGACATATGGTTGCACTCGCAGTACGACTGCTGGCAAGGCCTCGGATACTTTGGGCGTGCTGGTGGGTGTAGAGAAGAGAGGGCGGCCCCGAGTGAAAATATTCCCTTCCCTGCCCTGCCAAAGGTCATCAATCCTGAAGGCCTGGACGTCAGGTAGCCCATGGCGGGCAGAGTCTTCCAGTCAAGCCTCAGCCAGTCCAAGATACTGGAGCTATGGAGGGACACCAGTGCTCTGATGGGAGCCTTTGAGGCGGGGGGTCTGCCCGCAGTGGCCGCCAGGCTGCAGGCCACACTTCATTCGCTGGAGAATGCCAGGCTGGACATTGGCATCACTGGGGGCACAGGCTCAGGCAAGTCGACCTTTGTCAATGCCATCAGGGGGCTGGGAGACGAGGACCCCAACTCAGCCTGCACGGGCGTGGTGGAAATGACGGTGGACCCCACGCCATACCCACACCCTAAGTACCCCAACATCGTCATCTGGGACCTGCCGGGCATAGGCACGTCCCGCTTCCGGACTGGTAGATACCTCCAGCGGGTGCTGCTGGAACGTTACGACTTCTTCATCATCATCACCTCAGACAGCTTCACCGCCCACCATGCCCAGCTGGCCTGCGAGATCCTGCAGCGGGGCAAACGCTTCTACCTCGTCCGCTCCAAGGTGGACGTGGACATTGCCGCCTCGCGGAGCCGGCGCCCCGGCACCTTCTCCGAGGAGAGAGTGCTCCGCCAGATCCGGGAAGACTGTGGGAGGCGGCTGAGGGGTGAGGTTCAGGCTCTGGAGGTGGGTGGATTCTGGAGGGTTTGCCAGCCCCCTCCTCTTCCTCTCCCAGCTGAGGCCCACAGTGGGAGAAGGGGTCATCCAATGTCGCGCTGCGTGACTGATCTGGGCCCCGCGGTGAAATAATGCTTACAGCTGCCATTCACTTCCTGAGAGTTGGCTCTTCCCAGTCACAGGTGACAGAGACCAATCACCTGCATTAAGGAAACAGGGCACGTTCTGGCGTGTGTGTTTGCCAAGTTAGAGCGGTGCAAAAGCTCTGCGCCCACGGGATGCTGGCACCTGTGGCCGAGGGCAGCTGACATTTGTTGAGGGCTTATCGCAGGCCAGGCACCGTTTTCATGCGCTCCCTTCACAACACCCCTATGAGGCAGGTACAGTTATCCCCTTGTTTGGTTTGGTAACTTGCCCAAGGCCACACGGGTGGTGGGTAGCAAGGCTGGGGTCCGAACTCAGGCAGCCTGGCTCCAGGGCCAACTCTCCCGAGCCACATGCTGTGCACTCACAGCAAGTGCTTGTGCCTCCGCGGCAGTCAGCATGCCATGGCCTGCTCCAGCGCAGGAACAGAGCGGTGCTCTTGTCTTCTGCAGCGGAGGGCCTGAAGGACCCCAAGGTCTTCCTGCTCTGCATGTTTGAGTTGGGCAAGTACGACTTCCACCTGCTGGAGGAGCTGATGGTGAAGGAACTGGAGAGTCACAAGCAGCACGCGTTTCTGCTGGCCGTGCCCAACGTCTCGAAGCCCATCCTAGAGAAGAAGGCAGCCTCGCTGCGGCAGCATATCTGGCTGGTGGCCACGGTGGCCTGTGGCGTCAACCCGAGCCCCGTGCCAGGCGTACGGGATGTGGCATGTGACCTGTATGTGCTCATCAGCTCCCTGGAGGGCTACCGCCGCAGCCTCGGCCTCGACGAGGACTCCCTCGTCAGGCTGGCTGAGCAGACAGGCCAGCCCCTGCACAAGATCCTGGAGGCGGTACAGGGCTGGAAGACCAAAGTCACTGAGGCACTGGTGGTGGAACTACTGGGCCAGGCCTCCAGGGACGCCTCTGCTTTCACCCAGGAGCTCCTCGGCGTGCCCATCCTAGGCGCCCTGGCCACCTGCGGCATCAGCTTCCCCACCATCTACCAGATGCTCCGCACAGCTCTAGAGGAGGTGGTCAAGGATGCCCAGAGAGTGCTGACCCAGGCCTTCCTCGACGACTCTGACCATGAGCTCCCAGATAAATGCAATCAATAATCCCAGCCCTGAGCTTAGGCCAGCTGGAGGTGGCAGTGTAAGAGTGGGAGGACACAGGTTCCATCTGTCCCCAGGCTGGATGGTGTTGAGGAATGGAAAGAAACTCAAGCTCCAACCCTCCTGCACTGTGTGCGGTCTCGTACTTTTGAGCCCCGGATCTCATGCCCTCTCTGGCCATTGCCCCCACCTTCCCTGCCCTGGACGCTCAAATCAACCAGCAGTCCCCCGGGGAAGCAGAGGGAGGGCGCGGGACATGGGACAGATAAGGTCTGACAAGGTGGGGAGGATCTCAGTTGCCTAGCTGAGAGGGCACTTAGGAAGGTGTTTGTGTAGTCAGGGCAGTGGGGCGAGGGGTTCAGAGAGGGCAAGTGAATGTCTCCGCTCTGAACGGCCTTGAAGATTGTTAGGGAGTTTCTTGCCTGAGGTCTTCTCGGTCAGCAAGACCTGGGTGTCATGCCTCCCAGTCCTCAGCCCCTCGCTCTTTAGAGATCTACAGGGACCCCACTCCTGGCCTCTTGGGTGTTTTCTTCACCACCCCCCGCCCCACCCCCAGGATTCCCACAAGGACGCCGGGACTGTATGGGTACGTCCAAGGGCAGGAGGAAGGCAAGGAGGCCAAAGGGCATGGGGTAGTGGGCAGCCAGACTTGGCTGGTGACGGAACCAACCGCGTTAGGGAAGGGTGAGGTGGCGTGATTCGAAGGTCGGGACTAATTTGGGATGGGTGCGGTGGCCAGACCCACTTGGAGACGCACTTGGGGAAACACTAAGCTAGGAGGTAGTGAATTTAAACCGGGTAGGTGAGGTAGGTACCATATTGAAGTGAATGGTGTACTTAACTGAGGGTAGGTTCTGGACTTGCAAGGCAGAGACTACTTTTAAGCAAGAGTAGATGAGCTCTGTAGGCAAAGGAAGCCACCATACTTCACCAACTGTGGGCGCTGTGTGTTAAGGGTAACGTACAAGCATTTGGATAAGGGTAGAACTTGTTTCAGCTCAGGGTAAGCCCTGTATTTCACTGTATTTAACTAAGACACACTCTATTTTTTAACCATATACTGAATCCGGCATTGCATTTAACGAGGCATTTCACCAAAGGCAGGCACTGTCTTCAACTGAGAGCAGACGACACGGAGGTAGTCACTGCATTTAGCCAAAGGAGGGCACTGTCTTTTCCTATCCATGGCACAGAGATGGGACTTGATGTCACCACAGGAAACAGAATACCCCTTTTTCTAGGGGCTTCCTCCTTAGCAGAGACTGGTCTTCCTCAGCTCCTCACAATTCTATGACCTGCAGTGAAAGTGTCCCCATGGCAAGTTCACTCAGGCTCCAATGGTGGCTGCAGGTAATCTGCCCCCTAAAGGCCAGGACCCAAATCTGCCCTGCTCCCCAGGACAGCATGCTGGGGAGACGGGAAGAAGAGAAGCACCAGAACAGGCTTGCATGACTCTTTATTCGAACCACCAGACCTGCCCCCAACGAAGAGCTCCCCAGACCCTGCCGCACCTTATAGGAAAGGGCTCAGAGTCAGGGAGGAGGGACCCTGTTGCTCCTGTCCCTGCCGAGGGAGGTCAAGATGGAACCTGGGATTCTCCGTGACCAGACTACTCCCACTGCCTGTCCCTGCAGGGGACTGAGATGGGCCGCCCTGGCCCAGGTTGGGGGTGGGATCTCAGAGTTGCCCCTGAACAACACTCCGTTGAGGATGGGAGGCCTGGCCCTGGACGCCTCACGTCTCTGGGCGAGGATGTCGTGGTCCCTCGTCCATCAGACCTGCCGCCACTTTCCACCCCACCAGGGGGGTAGGACGCGTGTGCTCCCTCACCATCCGTGAGGACCCAGAGGGGGGGTTCTCTGCATGACGTTCCTCCCTCGGCCTCAGGCCAGCAGGCGGCTGTACTCCGCCAGGGCAGAGGACTTCTTTACGCCGTCCCAGATCCGGGCAGCGTAGTGGAACCTGGGGGAGGAGGTGAGTGGTCAGCAGCCCTGGCTGTGGCCCGCCAGCCTTGCGCTGACCCGGGCCAGGTGCAAAAACAGGTCCTGCGTACAACCTGAATGACCTGACCCCGGAGGCTCCTGGACCGGGATGTGGGGGAAGATGACAGTGCTGATGGGAGTGGCCCGGGTTCTGACGCCTCCCCTGGGGTGAGCAAAGCAGAAGTCGCCTGGTCTGGAATGAAGGCCTCAAGCCCCAACTTGAGGGTCAGGATTCTACCTCTATCTCCCTCCAGAGTCTTGTGGCGATCAGAAACGTCTGACAGCTGCATGACCCTCTACCCGGCTGGGCCCTGCTACAGACCGTGGGAGAGTAGAGCCCCGAGCCCCCTCGCCCGCACGGCTCACTGGCTTTGCTGCTGTGTGCGCTCCCTGCCCCTTCCGGCCACGGCCAGCCACAGACCCCGGGGGAGCCGTGCTAGAGGCTGCACCCAGCCAAGCTCTTTCTCTCCAACTTCTGTGTCTCCTGGAAATTCGATGTTGCAGACCTGCTGCGGGCTCGAGACACAGAGGGTCATGTGGGGCTGGGGCTGGGGCTGGGGGAGGTCGGGGCTCTGTGAAAGCAGAGTGGGGAGAGCCAGGTGGCACAGGAGGAGGGAAGGTGGGGAGGCGCAGGGAGACTGCCATCCAGTGAGAGCTGGAGAATGCAGCTCCTGTGGGGACATTTCAGCGTCCCCTCCTGTGAGGCCACGCTTTCCGCACTCAGGGCCTCAGAATAAACGCTTGAGCTTGACTGGGCTCACTGGTCCTACTCCTCGCCATCAAATGGCACCTAGCTACCGGTATGTAACATCACTGTGTGACAATTCCTTTCTCTGAGCCTCAATTTCCCCACCAGTAAAACTGGTGACAAGACCTACACCCTACTGGCTACTCAGGAGGACTTAAGAGACAGCATGCTGTCCAGCGTGGAAGCAGTCATCAGCATCCCAGAAAAGGGAACCGAGATGTGGAGAGATCACTGAGAACTTCCTCTAGTCTGCACCAGGGTGGGGGCCCCCACACTGACCACCCTGCCCGGAGCTCTTACCAGTTCTTCTCCGTGAGGATGGTGTGTGACAGCTGTGGCCGGGCCATGGACATCACTTGGCTCCGGAGCTTGCTCACCAGGGACTGGAAACTGGGGTGGCCACGGTACCCAGGGAGCAGGGAGAAGAGCGGGCTGGAACCGGGTCCTGGAGAGTTGAGGTGGGGAGGATAAGGGGGTGGGGGGGACACCTTTCCTCAGAGGGCCTTTCCTTTTTCCCAGGCACCCAGTATCCTGGGCTGGAATACCAGGAGTACCTCCACGTCCAGACCCGGCCCAGCTCTTCCCGTACTCCAACATCTTGGAAACACACTCCTAAGAAAGGGTCCAAGCACCTTAAGGACAAGCCACGAGTCTCCCCTCAGACCAGTGTGGGTCCCTATCACCCCAGGCCAGGGCAACCTGTATCTCCCACCAGACCAGGGAAGAACTGGTATCCCTGTGGACCAGACTCAACCATACCTGCCCGAGGTGGGTTTTCACTCTCTGCTTCGCTGTCCATGAAGGGCACCAGGAACAGATTGACCTCAGAGTCCAGGAAGTCAGGTGGGAGCCCAGGGAAGACGTTGCACTGTAACATGGACAGAGTACCTGCAGGAGAGAACCTATCAGCCTACAGATACTATGGTGAGGGGCAGGGGAGGTACACATATGATGGTCAAGCTAGAATCAGCAGGCCAGTCTGGACGTCTGGGCCACGGGCCAGAGCAGGAGTCAAGAGCCACTGGTCAGCCTGGGGGGTGACTCAGGGACCCTTACCCTTGTAACGCAAGTGGGAGTGAGCCATGAGCTGGTCAATCATCAGGTGCATCTGGCGCAGCTTTCGAGGACAGAAGTCCTCTCGGCGAGCTTTGTTCTGCAGGAAGACTGGAGGGGTGGGAAGAGAGATGTAGTCGCGTGAGGCAGCTGGGGCTTGGCTGTGTGGCCTTCCCCACTCGTGCCAAAGATCTGCCGTTACCCCTGGGCTCAGAGCTCTTGTAAATATTTATGTTACACGTTACTTTGCTTTAGCACCAGACCCTGTGCTGGGTGATGCAGGGGACCCAGACGTGAGATCTGGTTTCTGTCCCCAAGGAACCCCCAGTCTGATGGAAAAGACCGAAGAGGAAAATAGCCACACAATCAGGAGTAAGACAGAAAGGCACCAGGGACTTGGTGAGGCAGAGGAAGTAGGGAAGACCCTGCCTGGGGTGTCATAAACGAACGAGATGTTTGCAGAAGGGCAGTGTGACAGTAGAGCAGAGCGAGCAGATGGTGTGAGGCCGCAGGGCAAGCAGGGCACCTGGGGCCACTCGGGTTACTTCAGCACTCTCTTCGCCCCCAGTCTGTGCTGGAGGTGCGGGGGACAGAGAAATGGGCTGATGTGGATCTTGTATATAAAAGGCTCCCCTTCTGATCAAGGAGCTGGACCCAGACTCAGAGTCGTGCCCTTGGTGGCCAGGTGGGAACCTTGGAGGAAGAAGCAGCTAATCTGCTGACTTGCTTCCTCCCAGGTCCCCACTTCCCCAGCGCTCCTGGTTTTCGCCCCTCCCCCGTCCCCCTGCCTCCCCCGCTCCCCGATTTCTCCCTCACCCATCCCCCCCCCCCCCCCCCCCCCCCCCCCCCCCCGCCCCAGTCAAGTCCCTCACCCAGGTGGGGGTAGTACTCAGTGCCTTCGTCAGAGCCTGAGGAAGTGCTGGACTCGTGGCTGGGGGATGGGGTAGAGGGCTTCACCATCTCTGCTGTCTGGAGGAACCTGGGGTTCAGGGCGAGAGGTTGGTGCTCTGGCATGGGCACCCCCCCGTCCCACAGCCTGGGGAGGGGGCCCCCTTTGCGGATCTGATAAAAGCTACAGCTACACCTATTTTAGGGGATTTTAGGGAATTCAGAGACAACTCTCTCAGACACCAATCCATGGACCCGTGTCAACTGCATGCGTTTTTAAATGAGTCTATGCTATTAAAAAAATACTCCATTTTTTAAAGCATTGGTAAGATCACCACAAAACCGAGTGGAAAGCACAGGGGTTCCCAGGAATGTCCCACCCCACTCCCACACATAGCCTCCCCCACTGTCAACATTCCGGTGAGCCTGTGACACATTATCATCACCCAAAGGCTATGCTACACACTAGGCTTCCCTGCCGGTGTTGTCTACTCTGCGCGTTTTGACAAAAAGGACATGTGCCCGCCACACAGCATCACAGCGAGCGGCGTCACTGCCCTAACAACCCTCCATGCTCTACCTATCCGCCCCTCATCTTTTTACTTGTCCCCGCAGCTTTGCCTTTTCCAGAACGTCATGGAGGTGGGATCATACACTAGCCGTTTCAAACCGGCTTCTCTCACTTAGTAATACGCACTCAAGAGTGTGTACCTTCCTCCTTTTCACGGCGTGATAACGCATTTCCAGTAACATTCCCTTGTGCGCATGTACCATAGTTTATCAATTTACCTACTGAAATATACCTTGATCACTTCCTCGTTTTGGCAATTACGAATAAAACTGCGTTATAAACATCCATGTGCAAGTTTCTGCATGTATCTAAGTTTCAGTTTATGCCATTTTAAAATAAAATTTCCAGACACGTAAATAAAATAAACCTGCTTGCTATCTGAAAGAAGGGCTCATGGGAATCCGATAAAAAGCACGGACATTCTCCTCACACGAACACACATACAAACGTGTTGTCCACAGTTTCGTGGGGTTTCCCTGCTGAGAAGCCCACCTCAGGCTCTGGATTAAAAGCAAGGTTCTGCCACGTGCCGGGCCGAGTCCATACCCCAATCAGAATGCAAACTCCACAGGGCAGTCTGGTAAATTCACACCTGTGTCCCCAGTGCCCTGAACGGGGAATGGCATCCATAAATGGTCAATACACTCCTCTCACGTGAACGAATTCAAACAGACTATGGTGATGGTAACAGCGCGGGTGTTTCAGAAATAAGACACTTAGGGGCGCCTGAGCGGCTCAGCTGATGAAATGTCTGGCTTGGGCTCAGGTCATCAGAGTTGGTGAGTTGGTGAGTTCGAGCCCCACATCGGGCTGTCAGCGCAGAGCCCACTTCAGATCCTCTGTCTCTCTGCCCCTCCCTCACTCTCAAAAATACATTAAAAAAAAAAAAAAAAAAAAAAAAAAAAAAAGACATTTAGATCTGGTCACAAGGGCTGGTTTTCCCAGAAAGTCATTTTTACTGTTGGCCAGACCAGACCCACAGTTCACCCCAACCCCCAGGGTTACTAACATAAACATTACATTCCCATTTACCACCGAATGCTGTAAGTTCTTTAAACTCATTTAATCCGCATAAAACAATTTGCCTATGAGGAGCTAAGGAAAAAGAGGCCACTCACCTACTAAGAGCTGGGGTTCAAATCCTGGGCTGCCTTACTTTGGAGACATCTGCTTCCCTTGGCTCAGCTCTCCCCTCCCCATGAGCTCCTGTTCCTTCCTTCTGGCTGGGCTCTGTGCCCAAGGCGGCTGGCCTCCGCACAGCTATCCCCTGGGGCCTGAGGCCAAGAGGAACCCTTACGCCTTAGGTTCTGAGCCAGTTCTGTCCAGGGGGCATTTCTAAAAGCTCCAGCTGCTTCAGGCAGGACTCCGGCCAGATCCTGACTCCTTCCCCAGATCCTGACTCCTTCCCCCTTCCTGCCTGCCCGGGTACGGTACATGTGCCTGGAGATGGACAAGAGGGACAAGCCCGCTCCTGATTATGCTATTCATTCTACAAACGTGTATTAACCACCTTGTGCCAGGCACTGTGTGAGGCACCAGGGACTCAGACTGGGAGAGACAGACCCTAAAGAGACCTGCAATGTCCTGTTAGGGAGTGATAAATGCAATGAAGGAAAACACAGTAGCGTAAGAGTGGGGTGGTGGTGGGGGGTGGTTCTATGTTATAAGATCGGGGAAGGCCTGAGGTGGGACGACGTGAGGGAGGGAGTCTGAGGTCTGTAGGAAGAGTGTTCTGGCTGAGGGATGCAGCGCAGAGGTCCTAAGCTGCACAAGGAGTAGCCATGGGGCCACTAGGGCTTTAATCGGGGAGCGAGGGAAAGTGGTGGGAGAGAAGGTCAATGAGGAGACTAGGACTGTCCCGTGGAGGACCTTGTAGGCCATGAGGACTTTGGATTTTGTTCTGAGTGATGTATAAAGCCAGTGGGGAGTCGTAAGCATGTGTATGTCTGCTAGGTGGTGGTGACCCACTCCAACTCACGTTTTATTTTATTTTTGAGAGAGAGAACATGCATGCACCTGTGAGCATGCACGACTGGGGGAGTGGCAGAGAGAGAGAAAGAGAGAGAGCAAGAACAAGAGTGAGAAAATCCCAAGCAGGATCCACACTGTCAGCACAGAGCCCTACTCGAGGCTCCATCTCGCCAACCGCAAGATCGTGACCTGACCCCATATCAAGAGTCGGACACTTAACTGACTGAGCCACCCATGCGTCCCCAACTCAGACTTTAAAGGGGTCCCTATGGATACTGTGTGGAACGTATGAGACCCAGAAAGTGGCCGAGTCTCTGATCCCCATCTCTTGCCTTCGCTCCCTGCCCCCACCCCCCCAACCCTCCCCGCCACCTGCTCACCTGTATAAACTGAGGTCTGTGAACCAGTCTTGGACAACGATCACCACGTGGCAAACCGTGAAGAGGAAGGCCGCGATCTGGAGCGACTGAGAGAGGGCAGGAAGGGGTGACCGAGCTGGAGGTCCCCCCCTACCCAGACTGGGGTCCCTGCTCCCAGGACTTAGCTGAAGGGGCAGCAGGGTGAGAGCCTCAGAGCTGTTAAGCACCTACTGTGTGCCCAGACTCCGCTGGCACTTCCTTCACAGGCCATCCCTAAATTGGGCAAGATAGGAATGATCACTCCCATCTCACACTGGCAGATAACGAGGCCTGAAGGGGGAGGGGGCAGGAAATGACTTTTCTGAGGAGCACAGCCAGGAGGTGAGCCTGAAAGGACTCTCAATGCTATTCTTTCCTACAGCTCTTGGGGCACCCAGGGCTCTTTATGAAGCAGAAACGAGGTCAACCCATATCCAACTCCCCATCGCGAATCTCGAGGGGGAAGGGGGAGACCTCGCCCCTAGGTCCGGCTTGGTCCCCTCACCTGCATCTCAACGTAGGTGTGGGGCAGGTTGTACTCTGGAGGCAGCTTGCGGTCATTGTTGATAAGGTGGTCCAAGATGGAGGGGCTCAGGATGGGCTGCGGCAAGGAAGAGAGGGTGTCGGGAACGGGGGCTGGAGGCCGGGACCCTAAGTGTCACAGCCACCCAAGTTCCTCAAGTTGAAGGCCAATACCTTGCCTCTCTCGGGGCAAAATAAGGTCAGAAACACAGGCGGTTTCTGATGAGTAAGAGCTAGTCAGCAAGAGGGGGTGAAAGAAGAATGTTTCAAAGCAGATACACTTCCCCCAGCTCCTTTATGAATTATCACCCCTCTCAAGTGCCTCGTGCTCAAAGAGAACTCTCCTAGTGCTAATAAATGTAATATTGGCTTGCACGAGTCATGTCCCTTCAAGACACTTTCCTTTTCTTAGTTGTTTCAAATGCTTTCAAAACTTTGCCAAGATAATTACTTTGGTCAAAAAACGATGTTTAGTGTGAAAATTGGTGAGGATTTGAAAACTGCATCAGTGGGTGTAAAAGAATCCATGGTGAGTTCATCACCTTTTCTTAAAGGAACATTCCATTTAAAAGCCACAAGAGCGCAATCAGTTTGGTGGTCTTACTGACTTCTTGCTGCAGTGAGTGGAATTCTTTAAAGACAGTTTCCCAATTGCTTGCTTTCTAAAACTCCCAATAGAGCTGCATGCTCTATTCTGTCCTGTTTTAACTTCCGTTCTGCTCCACATGGGCCTTGGACCCAGCTCATGGCAGTTCAGCTTGTCTCCAGGTCCCCTAGTGGCCCCTGCACAGGGCCTGACTCACAGATCACATCTGTGGGCTTTCACTGTCCGTGCCATCCACACCTATGGTGACTAGAACTCCGCTCCATCAACATTCAGGGACAACCACGTAGGGGCCAGGCCCTGACCAACAGAGCTCCTCCCTAAAGCGCTCCAGGCAGGTGGGGAGCGGGAGCAGTACACCGTGGGAAGAGGCTGTGATACGTCAGTGCCACGATGGAAGGCGCACACGGCACCAGTGGGGGGCTCAGAGCAGGGGAAGGCTTCTGGGAGGAGGCGATGCCCCGGCAGAGTCTTCTCGGAGGAGAAGGCATCAGCCAGGCAAAACGGCAAGGGGAGAGAGAGTGTTCTCATGCTCATGATACTGACAGCAAAGTATGAAGTACCTACTTCATGGCAGGCGCTGCCATTAGGGCTCTACTTGTATTAACTCACCGAAGCCTCACAACAACCCTACAAGGTAGGCAATGATGTTTTTCCCACTTAAGAAAACTGAGGAACAGGCAGTTTCAGATAAAGGGTAGTTTCGGATAAAGGGAACAGGATGTGGACGGCCCAGGGTGGGAGGGGGATCAAGGCGAGGCCCTGTGGTGCGTCTGGTGGAGCTAGAGACTACACCAGAGAGGGGAGGCTGGAGTCTGAAGGAGGTGAGCCCCACGAGCCCTGAACACCACGCTGAAGAGTGGGGACTCTGCCTGGGGGCAAGAGAGAGGATGAGGAAAGCCGCCAGAAACACACAGGTCAGTTCTGATGATAGCGATGGGCCGGAACGCTAACTACATGCCAGGTCCTGTGCCAACCGCTCTGCCTGGACCGTTCCACTGAAGCCTTGCAATGAACCTGTGAGGCTGAGTACGATTATCGTCCCCACTTATAGACGAAGAAACTGAGGTTTGAGGGGGGGTAAACACTTGCTTCACATCACCCAAATGGTAAGAATTAAAGGCAGAACCTGGACACACAGAGACCGGCCTCGAGGGCCCACACATTTAGCCACTACGCTAGAAGATTCTCTAGGCTACTGTGTATACGATGGACGGGAGGGGAGGGAGGCAAAATCTGAAAACGTGCTAAAGGCCAAGAAAAGACACAACTTGTCCATAAGCACCTAGCATGCCCGTGGCTGGGCTGGGACCACATGGAATCTAAGCGGGGTTCTGGCTTAACAACATTCAGGGATGGATGTGAAGGTGGCATGAAGGAGGGCGGGCATGTGGAGGTCAGCACCTGTGTGTCCAGGAAAACAATCCGCTCTTGGGTAATAAAGAAGTCAATGCCACTGGTCTGGTTGCCCCCTCGTTCCTTCATCTCGGCACTCTGGGCCCGGAAAACGTACGCCCTGTGGAGAGAAGCGGGTGGGGTGCATTAGAGGTGCGCTTCTCAGCCTCTGATGCCTCCAGAGTGTAACCATGTAAAATGAACATGGTTCCCTATGCTCTCAAAGCCCCCTACAAAGCCTTCCACCTGTGGCCCCTGTTGTCTGGAGAACCACGTTTTATTCCACATGACTTCACCTTTACCCATAAGGAGATCTATTAACCCATCCAATGAAGTCAGTAGAGTGAGGTGTTTAAGAGTCAGGACTTTGTTGGACCGCTGGGATTCAAATCCCAGTTCTGCCTCTTCCTGGCTCTGTGGCTTTGGGCAAGTCCTTAATTTCTTTCTCCTTGGCCTCCTCATCTGTAAATGGGGATAACAGCAGTCTCAAAACTCTTAGGGCTGCTATGAGGCTAACTGCCGTAAAGCCCTTAGGAAAATGCCCGCTAGGCAGCGATACGTAATCGTTAGCTGTGAATTACCCACTGCACTTGCCACGGGCCGGGCCCCGGAGATATAGCACTGAATGCTCTCCACCCTCACAGTGAGAGGCTGGGTGGTTGTAGAACTCCGTTCCCAGTTCTTCCCCTAGACCATGGAGCTCAACTGGGTCACATTCTGCGACCTGGACAAAGTGATTTTCTCTTTCAATCTGTAAAATCAGGGTAATGGTATTTCTGTCTCAAAAGGTAATCCCCACCTCCCTGAGAGGCGTGTTACGCTGTCCGACACCCACTTAACAACACCGTACTGAAGGCCTCTAATGTACCAGATACCGGGATGCGACAGGGAACAAGGACCATCTCTGCTTCCAAGCAGCTCCTGCTCTAGCTTACAGATCAACAGAGATCAGTAACTGTGAGCGGCAGGAAGAAGGGGTGTGTGGCGCTCAGGATGGGGATAGCTCAATTGGGAGAGCTGGGAAGGGCTGCCGTACAAGAGACAGATGCCCACACTGAGAGTGAGAGAGAGAAGAGTTTATTGAGCAACTTTAATTAAGTTAAAGGGGAGGCACAGGGGGTGGAGGATGGAAGCAAAGACTGTCCCAGGTGGACGGCAGGTGGCGTGTGTGGGGAATCAAAAGACCAGTGTGGGGAGAGGGGAAAGCGGAGACCAGGGGGACTGGGAGCAACAAGAGGGAGCACAGGCCTCTGTGGGGCCTGGTAAGGAGCTGGGGCTTTGGCCCACGAGCCTGGAGTAGCCCTGAAGACATTTAAGTAGGGAAGTGACAGGACTGGAGGTGGGTTTTGAAAGGCTCCCCTTGTGCTATGTGGTGAGCCGTAGCCTCCCTTATCCTCTCTGACCTTGACCGCCTAGGCCTTCCCTTCTTGCTCACTCCGCGCCAGCTCCAGGGCCTTCATGCCATTCTGCACATACACCAGGCAAGCTCTGTTGCCTCAGACATAGGCTCCTGCCATTCCATCTGATTAGAAAGCTCTCCCTCCTCCCAGTCTGCTTGTGCTCAGTGTCCCTCTTTGCGAGGCCTTCCCTGACCATTCTGTTTAGGACTGTAATCCAGCACCAACCACAGCTTCCCTATAATCCCTTCCCGTTTGGGTATCACCTTCTCACATGTCAAATAACGTAGTTTGTTTGCCTTCACCCTGATTAGAATGAAGGCTCACCAGGACAAAGGTTCTTGCCAGTTCTGTTGATTGTTGCATCCCCAGTGCCCGGAACAGTGCCTGGCACGCTGTAAGCACTCAATAGATGTTAGCTGAATTGAACTAAAGCAGGGAGATCAGTGAGGAGATTCTTGACATTCAGTAGGGGAGATGTTTGGGGCCAGGAGACAGGAATGAAGGAAGGGAGAAGCAGATGAATTCTTTAACATAAAGAGGGCCTGATGGCAAGAGTTGGCACCAAAGTCCGCCACACCACGGGCTGACGTGGCTCAAAAAAATAAGCAGAGGGCACCTCGGTGGTTCAGGCAGTTAAGTGTCTGACTTCAGTTTAGGTCGTGATCTCATGGTTTGGGAGTTCGAGCCCCATGTTTGGCTCTGCGCTAACAGTGTGGAGCCTGCTTTGGATTCTCTGTCTCCTTCTCTCTCTGCCCCTCCCCCACTCACATTATCTCTCAAAATAAACTAAACAATAAAAAAACACAAAAGATATGCCAGGCCAGTAGAATTCTCTCTAGCTCAGGAATCTGAACTCAAAGCCGGGGGTAGGGGAGGAGAAATTTGCTAGTTGGGGGTGGAAGCTGAGATGGAAAGAATGCTGAGAGAGCTGGAGCTGTTCCCAAGTGGAGCCAAGGTGAGCTTAAGTTACAAGTTGACAAGAGAGGAGACGGACCTGGGAGGAAGGGCAGCCCCACAGCTCTGGTTCTAGTGGATGTACAGTCTCACGATAGTGGTTCTTAACCTGCTCTGGGTCTCCATCGGACCCTCTAAGATCTGGGGGAAACTACAGACCCATTTCCTAGAAGGAAAGCCTAACTGCAGATAGATGTAAAATCCCTCATATACTGTTAGGAGGAGGTTCATGGACCCCCTGATATCCATCCACGCAATGCAAGATAGTATCACCTGCTTTATGGAAAAAAAAACCAAAAACCAAACCCCTACATTTTCTAGACAATCCCTTTCTCATTCTCCAGTTTGAGTCTTCCTTAATCAGACCGGTTATGTCTCTCCTCCCTAGTCCCTGCCTTTCTCCATTTCCTTCCCTGCCCTCAGTTCTGGTCCCTAGTTCCTAAGCTCTCTCTTTCCCCAGATCCTCTCCTGTGACTTCATACTTTTATTTTCACAATCATCCCCATCCTTACTCAAGAATGCAGGACCGAGGCTGGTCTAGAACCCATGCCCTACATTCGAGTCTCTTTCCCTGTTCTATTTACCAGGTCTTAGCAACCAGTATCCTATGAGCATTTGCTCTGTGTCAGGTTCTTGTTAACTTTGCCTTCCTGATCTTATCCTCCAAAAACCCACTTTACACATGACGAGGTGAGATACTGGGAAGTGAAGTGACATTCCCAAGGTCAACTAGCTGGTGAATGGCAGGGCTGAGACTGAAGTCAACCTAAATCCAAAGCCGGGCTCTGTACCATTCCCTGGGGCGAGGCAGGAAGGGAGGGAGAAACAGCACTGGTTATCTTGGAGCCACACAAAGATTTAGTCCAGGCCCTAATCACCCTAATCTGACAAAGACATTGAGGCCAAGGGAGGTGAAACATTTTCCCAAAGTCCTTTGGTAATACCACTTGCAATACCCAGGCCCACCCTTCCCTGTCCTCCAGGTAGGTGTCCACCTCCCTCCTGGTCTTCCACACCCCTTACCTCTGGTCCTCCTCAGGAGTGTTCGCTGACAACAATGACATGACCATGGACTTGCCTGTCCCCTGAAGGCCCAGGACACCAACCACCAACACATCGGTCTGATCCAACAGGTACTGTGGGAAGATGAAGGAATGTGAGCCTCGTAAATCTGTCAGCTGCTGGAGTGGGAGTGAGACTGGGGTGGGGTGGGGGGGCAGAGACTGGCCCGCCTGCCTTGTCGGATGTGGAAGCAAAACTTTGACGCCTCCGATCCCCTCAGTTGGGCAAAGGGCCCCTGTACGTATGCGGTGGCACAGAGAGGAACATTTGTGAGGGCTCCCAAGTGGAGAAGAGCCTGGCATGGTCAAGAAGCTAATGGAAAGTCAGTGCCGCTGGAACACAGCGGGCAAAAAGGGAAACCTGACTTTGGGGAAGAGTAGAAGAAAGGCACAGGAATGAAGAACAGGTGGAAGGACAGGATGTGGTATCTGAGGGCTACTGCGGCAGACTCCTGGAGGACTTTCGGCTTCTGGCAAGTCAGGAAAACACGCAGCAGCATGAAAAAGGGACAAGAGTGAGGAAGGGGAGGTCAGTCTGTCCTGGATCCTGTCTGGGATTTAAGAGTCCTCAGACCTTCACCTCTGGGCCACGAGCTCTGATGCCTTTCACCACTAGGGGGTGCGAGAGACACGCTTTAAAAAAAAAAAGAGCCGTCCTCAACAGGCTCCTTAAAAAAATCAATCCTTTTTTTTTAATTTTTTTTTTTCAACGTTTATTTATTTTTG